TATCATAATCTGCATTACAGTAATGCCAAGAATTATCAGTTGTGGGCCAGAAAGCTGTTGTGCTCAGTGCTGTTAAAACACATCATGAAAGCAGTTCCAGGCAAGACGAGGTTTTCATATAAAATCATCGTGGTTGAATGGATAATAGGTAGAACTGGGAGCCAGTAATTCTTGTTTTCTAATTCTGCTTCTGCCACTGATTCACTCTGTGGTTGGTGCCAGCAGAGCTACTGCTGAGCCAGACACAAGTTTGCAGATGTCTGTATGTGTCTGTTTTCCTTGACATAAAATGGGATTAATTCCCTGCCATGTTTGAATGGATAAGAAGAGCAGATAATGCATTATATGTATAAAATAGATTTGCTGTGTAGGAAGAGAGAATGATGCAGAAATTTAGGCTGGAGGTTCAAGGAAGGGGTCATCGACTCATCCATCAGGACCCTGAGGGTTTTTTCTGCAGAACTGCTGCCCAGCTAGACAGTCCTCACCCTGAAGGGATTCACAGGGTTGGTCCAGCCCCCATTCAGGGCTTTGCATCTGTCTTTTTTGGACTTCGTGAAATTTTTGGTGGTTTTCCCTCCAGCTTGTTGAGTTCCCTGTGAATGGTTGTCCTGCCTTCCAACACCCCACTCTTTGGTGTCATGTGCAAGCCTGTAGAGAGCACAGCCCATCCTGTTGACCACCTGTGAAAGCCCAGCTCCTCTCTCAGCATGGGTAAGGCTCTTTTCCAGCAGTTATGAAAACATGTTACTCCAAACACTTAGAAATTATGAAAACTAATGAAACCCCCACGCACATTTGTACAGATTCCACATGTGCATTGTTTTTATTCCAGCATTTTGGAGTTGGCAGGTCTGACTGAAGGATGGGAGACAGCCCAAGCCCACAGGTTTGGATTGGAGCTGGGCTGCAGCATTTGCATGTGGGCATCTAGTCTGTTTAAAGGCATCTTTTGTCAGTTTGAAGCTGACAATACTCTGAAAAAAGTTAAATGACAGTAAAACCTGTTTTACCTCTCTGTCACCAGAGCTTGAGGGGTACAAAATGACCCCAGAGGGCATATTTTGTGTAAGAAATACAGCTACCAGCCATAGCACTGTGGGGTGCCTGATGGTTTGCACTGGTCACAGGCTGGTACAGTTTGTGTTTGCAAGAGGGGAAGGATGATTTCAGAGAGGGAGAGCAGCTTACTGCACCTTGCTAACAGCCTGTCCGCACCAGTCCAAAGGTGATTTATCCAGGGTTACAGAGTGAAAAGCAACAGAACTCTCCATGGTAGCACTTTGCTGTTAGCCATGCTAAAATAAAGTAAAAGCTTGATTTGAACCAACAAAAGCAAAGGAAATGCACAGTCATATATAACATGCCTGATCCTCCCTCCCTCCTTTGTGTTTAAGTGTGTCTTATTTTTTAAAGTGTGTTTGAGGGGGAGAAGGGAAGAGGGACATTGTGAGGGTTCCTGTCTGCACACAATAGGGAGATTTAGAAATCAGGTTGCTGCCTTAACTCTGCCAGTTTAAGCCAAAGCCACAGGGATATTATTTTTGACACTGCACAGTGGATTATAACTTCAGTTCCCATTACCTCTAATGGGATCTTTGCTTGCAATCTGCCACTGCTACAGCCATGAAAATTTGTCCCTTAATGCTATTTTGCTATTCCAGGTTTTTGTGTTTAATTATATTATATAATAATTTGTTGCAGCTTCCACACGATTCCTTTAGGAGTGCACTTGAAATGCTTATGAATTTTTATAAACACAAGCTGTGTATCACTTTAAGCCTCTCATTGCTTTTGTAAACTATTCTGCCTTAATACAGCATCATTTTTCCTCCCTTGCTGGGTGAGCACTATCTTTTACAGTGTGGCCATTTTGAAAAGCACAAGGATACTAGTGCTGAGAAGCCCAAACCTCTCGTTATTGCATTGATGACTTGTAAGAAAAAACACTCAGGTGTTGCAGCTGCCTCCCACTTGACTCAAATGCAGACCCCCCCCCATGAGACACTAGTAGGTAGAAGGTTTATCTTTAGTGGTGAAATGCATTATTATTGTATAGAATTATTGACATGAGAAAACAGATCTATTGCCACAGACATTTTTTTCATGGTTGTACGTTCAAACTTGTACACAAATTAGTTTACACTTTGCTGTTTTTTTTCACAGACATACAAGTACAGTTAACTGATCTGCAAAATGCTGAAGTTATGAGATATATCTAAAAATTACTGTGCCTGAATTATTCACCGAACTCTGTCCTTGTGCAGGCTGCCATCAGCTCTACAGCCCTGCAAAGCTAATTTCTCAGAGAGATAAAAAATGAACATGATGGCTGTTGCTCTGTTTTCCTCCTTCAACTTTATTTTTTAACCTTCTCTCTCTCTCCCTACATATGTATATATTCGGTGTAGAAAGAGATTTGTACGTCTGGAGAAAAAACCCCCAAGATTTATTACCCTCCTTTTAATTTGCTTTGGAGGCATTGCTTACTGGGGACACAGTGTGTACTGAACAGAACGTTCTAATTAAGAACCAGAAGGCACATCATCCCAGTTACTTGAGACTTTGCCACAGATGCATTAATTGTTTACGCACTACTTTTTTTTTTTCTCCCCCTTCCTTTTTGAACCATCCCCACCATAAGCCGGTCAGCACTGTTCTCCCACCTTCTCAGAGACAGGAAACACTCCTACTTCTTCTGGGCAAGGAATTATTTTTCTAGTTACTTGTCTTTTTGGCAGTGACTGCGGGTTGGTAGTTTGTCGTTTGTGGTACGCTGTGTGTTCAAGTTGCTTCATGCTGGGTGTGGCAGGGGCAGCAATACGTTCTCTCCAAGCTGCTGTTAAGGAAAAATGTTGTAATTTGAGCACTGATTAAAGGAGCTCATGTTCAAAAGTGTAATTTTAACCAGGGAAGAGGTTAGTTGTGGGGAATCTTCCTCCGGAGCTGTATCCTGTGAGGTGGGATGTGCTGGGGTCCATTTTTGCTTTGGGTCTCAGGAGTGCTAGAGGGGATTGCATTACATTAATACACACATGAGATGGAATGGATGCTGGCATTTCTTGATAGCTGTATATGGAATAATGTTGTGATTATTTGCTGAATCCAGGAGTTGAGAGCAAAACTGTCATCCTTTGACTCCCACTGGTGACCCCATCTAACGCCTCCCGAAGAAGGGTTTGTGATGTGCTCGACTGTTCTATTCAGCCTTGGGCAAAACATGCAGAGGTGTGTGTATCCTAAGGTGGAGATGCCACAGTCCAGAGTGTGTGATCTGGAGTAAACCAAACGATGCTTTTTTATGATCTGAGTTACTTTTTTTAGCTCCCTGAGCTCAACATTTACATTCATGTTTTAAAGAACTATTGAAATAATAGGAAAAAGGTCTTGTAAAAGCAATGCCTCTGGCAGGCAGAAAGGAGCAAATTTCTCATGAAAGAATCAATTTTTGGTATGATTTCTTTCCCAGTTAGACAGGATGGCAAGTTTTGGAGATGATGGCTCCATATGATTTCACTTAGTCCATCCTTATGCCTTTCTAATTGCTTTAAGAAGAAGCATTTCTAATTAACAGCAGAGCACTAACTCAACAGGGCACTACCTACAGTGAACTGGGACTTTGACCATTTGGGAGTGTTCTCAAAATAAATAAAAGGCCTAACTCTGCTGTCTAGTGCCAAGTAATTAATTTCTTTCAGGGAAAGAAACAAAACAGTAAACTACCATACTGTGTGAGTAAATGTGGTGTGGTTTGTTCCTGAATTTTAAAATTTGACAGATTTTTTTCAAATGTCTGCCTTCAAAGAGGAACATAATTGTGTTTATATAAATGAGGTAGAAATGGTCAGAGCAGGCTTTGGGAAAAGTCAAGAAAGAAAACCCTTTTTTTCTTGCTTTAAATTCATTGCTAAGAATGTAAAAAAACCAATAATTCTTTTCTGTAGTTTATTTTATGTATTTATGTATGACAAAAACTGTTGTATGTCCACATTTAAACATCCATTAAAAGAATTCTCTAAAATACTATGTTAACACATAATGACAACCGATTTCAACCATAGGAAAAAGGTCTCCCGTAAAATGCTAATAACTAAAGTGCATTTACACAGTGTCTATATATTATTTAAAGGTAATATACTGCTGTTGCACAGGCAGATGTCTGCACTACATCAGCACCCCTTTATCTCTGCTTTGCTTTGCAGGTTATTTTTCTCCTTTTTCAGAGAGCAACATTTCTGTGTCTTACTTACATATCTAACTCTGGAAATTTGCTTTAAAAGTTATATGTGACATTAATAAATCTCTGTCTTCAGGCAGTTGATATTGTCTTAGTAGCACTCTTTTTCAATAGCTTCTCTTTCGGATGTTAATCTTAAATTGAAAATTAAAGATTAAAGATATTTCAGAAATTGGTGAGAATTCTGAATCATATTTTGTTGAGTGTGACATGATTTGACTTGATCACAGGCCCTGATATTTTTGGTGCTTTCAGGAATGCATAAATTATTGAAAGAAAACAAAACATAAGGAAATGCTGGCCACTAAAACTCAGAAAGGTAAGCAAATTTTCAAGTGTGACAGCTCAAGTAAAAAACTTTTAATTCCCTTACAGGTGACTGAAGAACTGATTTTCTGGTCTTACCTTGTCACTGTGGCTGCAGTAATCGCTATGTCTAGGTTAAATTACTAAGGGTGTCTGTTAAAATGATGATTTGTAGTTCAGCTCTGGAGTTATTGAAGCTTTGGGGAACTAAAAGGCAAGATTTTTACAGAGTGAATCCACCCATTTTTAATTCCGCCATTCTCAGGAATAAAAGTGGTTATGTTTAAGCACTGGAGAATAAAAATAGTTAGATTTAAGTACCAGAGAAAAATACTATTAATAATTTAAATAGTTGTTGCTTAAAAGTGAAAAAATAGGAGTAAGCACTTTGCCAGCAGAATACAGTTTCTGGACTGCAGGAGGTGACATGTTGACCATAACTCTTGGCTTTCCTCTTCAGTCCTAAAAAAACTTCTGTTTGAAAGATCTGCAAGAAGATGGGTATTTCATGAAATGCACAGCATGAGAAGAAGCATTCTTAAAAAAAACCCCAATCAAACCAACATGTAAGGGTAGTGTATTTTAATACAACTGTCTTCTTGACAATTAAGGGATTGGAGAGAATAGTAGACAATTTATTAGCTCTATTTCATTCAAATGTCCCTGACACTGTAGTTTCACTCTGACTAATGTGTTAGAACAAAACAACAAATGGATGAATTAATCTGAATTTGATTTTTAGTCTTTTAGAGTGCTTCTGTTCTGCCTATTTTCTCCAGTTAAGACATTTAAAAGGAAGAAAAAGAAACACAATTCTGGGAATGACCAACTTAATTGAAGGGAACCTAGAACAGTAATTCATGTAAAATAGTTGTAAAGAAGGACTTAATGATTTAGTCCATTGTCTGTGAGTTTAATAGATCTATGCCCTACATCATAAGACATTTTAGATTGATAACAGTGCATGGTAATTACTTATTAATCATAGAGAGATATTTTATGTAAGAGCTCTTCAGATAAAAATCAGTCATTCAACCAGATTAAAGACTTGTGTACTGAAGACCTATTCTCTATGGTTAATGATTTTGATTTTCCTGTCTGCCTATTGTTAAAAAAAAAAAAGAACTTAGGGAATCTAACAACTGAGTTGGATTTAACGTTTGCAAATTTTCCTTTTGTGGACTTTTTTCAAGTTTTGGAGTCTGCGGTTATTCACTTTCTTGGTCTTTAAATCGGTTGCTCTAGATCCCATGTGAGATTTAGATAAATGGAATTAAAATAGAATGGAGTAATTTTCAGTGCATGGGTGGGAGACACAGATCATGTCTCCTTTGGGATTTCAGTCCCTGCTGTAGTTTCAATTATGCAAATAACTGATGTAGCTGTGACTGACATTAATGACAAGTGCACAAGACTCATGTAGGTTGGTTGGATTTATTCTATCCTGTTGTGGCACTGTAAGTAGTACCTGAGTGATGGGATTTGCTGGCTGTCCCTGCTGTGTTGGCTTTGGAGCACAGCTAGAAAGGTGTAATGGATGAGAGATACTGAGAACACCCTGCTGGCATGTTGAAAATTCATTGGACTCATTCTGTTACTGCCCTTCAGGTTTTTGGGTTGCATGGGTACCTGTGGCTGCTCGAGGTACCCCATCTCCTCTCCTCCAGATCTCTGGAGCCCTGTGCTTAGCATCCTCCTCCTAAAACACAGAGGGAAGGTGCTCAGCTCCCTGTGTAGCTGAGCTGGTGACAGGGTCACCCTGGGAAATGCTGTGTCTACCTGGGGTGCCAGCCCCTTGCCAGTCAGACTGAGATGTATGTCTGGGAACTGGAAGAAAGGGGAACAACAGTGACAGGACAAAATGTTTCTCAAGAGACTGCTGGGTTCAGGCAGGGATGTCCTTGGGCCCCTGAAAAGTTTGGAGGCAAATCCCATTAGTTTATGATTATTTGCTTTCAAAGAATCTTATATGTGTGTGTGACATTGCCATTTCTAAACTGAGTAGTTTGCTACCCATGATCTGATATTCAGGAGCTCAAGAAGGGGAAAAAAATGGTGGAAAGCAGAAATGAGCTTACAGACTTCAGGAAAGGCTTGGTAGTGTTGTTTTTGATTTTAGGTTTCCTTGCTGAGAGATAAAGTTGATTTCTAGGTTAGGTGCCACAGGGCTGCGTGGGAGCTCTACCCGGCAAACTCCAGCAATGCAAGTGGGGACAAAAGATACTCTATTTTTCAACAATAGGAATATATTTTGGCTTTTTCTGTGGAGAGAGTGTTAAAAATGCATTGCTTGTCTTCTCTATATTTTTATGTATATATTTATACATATATATATATATTCATAAATTTTGTTATATATTTATACATACCATGCACGTTTTGTCTGTTGAGTGGGGAAAAAAAATGAAGTGTAAGATAGCTCTGTCTCCCAGAGGCACCAGTCCTACCATGGTCGCTTGGCAGCACATGTGCCTTGTCCTGCTGCAGCGAGGAACAGCCAGAGTAGATGTGCCCCTGGGTCCTTCCTGACTGTTTATCAGAAACTGGTTCACAAGTGTTCAGCAAAACGGATAATTTGAAAGGCATACACATCCTGTGATAAAGTAACATTTCTGAAATGCCAGAAATTGTTTAAATTGCTGTTTCTGAGAAGAATAACATTTTCTTTCTAGCACCGAAAGGGTGATTTAAACATTTTCTGTCCAGATAAGAAAACATCATTAATTGTGAATAAAACCGGGATGTGCATGATATCCACTTCTGCTGTTTGTGTGCAAATGCCATCTTTGAATAATGGCTCCTATAAGGGCTGCTGAAAATCTTTTCCTTAACAGTGTTTGTTCAAATTGTATGCCCAGGCTTAGTTGATATTTCTCCTCTCTTCCAAGATTTTCTATATTTGTACTTGTATTTGATGGCACTAGGTGAAAATGTAGGTGCTATATATTCTTTTCCTCTTTATTCCAATGCAAAATTTGGACAGTCTTACAGGAAAAAGGCTTTGTTTCTTTAATGGGCAGAAATGCAGATTTCAGCCAGAGCCTGAAAGTCAAGTTGAATTTTGTGGCATGAACAACATCACTAATAACAGAGATCTGGCAGGTCAGATTCTGCCCTGATTTACACATCTGTTCAACTCGGTTATCATCAGATTTAATGTGATGGCAGGTACAGGTAAGGGGGTAGGTTTTTGGTTCTGTAATTGGAACTTGGTTAAAAATTCTGTTTATGCAGTAAAAAGCTCCTCTGCTGTTTCCCAGAGCTGTTTGTGACTCTACAGTGCTGAGAACAGCAAAATTTGTGAAAAATGCTATTTTCTTTCCTGGTAATACCATGCTGGGACTGTGGGTGAGGAGTAGCTTGCAGAGAGGAGAATTTTCTTCTCTCAATGAGAAGAAGTCTGACTGGCCCTAAGCTCCTGAGCAATTGATATATCTGCTTAAAACTTCCGAATCTCTTCTAATTCTCAAGGATGCTGTGCCCTGTCTCTGCCAATCTGTTGTAGGCACTGTGTCTTTGTACCATGGGACTGTGTTGTATTGTGTGGCAACTATATATTTGTCTGTCTTGGAGGTCATTTTCCTTTTTTTTTGGTCATCTTGAGGCTCTGGAAGCCTTACAATACTTTCTCTCTATGCCTGTTAACTTTTCAACAAGAATAAAAGGCATCTAGCTGAAACTTTTTGGAACCTATAGCTAGACAAAATGGATTTGGTGGTACATTATGGCACTTAGACTTTTAATACTTGGTATTCTTCATGAACATGTACATAAGCAGTTTTTGGCTTATAAAGAAGAGGCAAAGTCATTAGTTTTCAAAAGTAAAGAGGACTGGCACTGCTGGCCAGTCTTCCTGTGGGAGACACAATGCTGTAAAAACCTTCCAAACTGAAATCATCGTGATAAAGAGGGCATGTGAGAGTCATCTCACCAAATCTTTTGTGTCCAATATTCATAAAAACAGAGCTGTGGAGATTATGCTCCAAGTGGCTCTTCAATTATGGCTGCCTTGAATCCCAGGGTGTGTTTTACCTGCCAGATTGACTCAGAAAGGTGTGACCTACTGCACTGTATTGTGTGCCTGAGTTACCTGCTGCTGAGTCCACCCTGGTTCCACTAACTAGGGAAATGTTCAGGGCTTCCTGCAGCACCCACCGCAAGGCTCCAAGTACAGGTGAAGGCTAAATTGCACAGAAAGAAACCTTTTCAGACACTGACTTGCTAATATTGACCACCAATAAAGCCCTTCCTTTGATCTTTTTGTCTAAATTACTTCCCTGTATAGACTGTCAGGACATAGGGCTCTCAAAGAAGTGATTATGCTGTTTGAGTAACAGATATGCTGTAAGTTTTCAAATTAGAACCATGTTTTGTAAAAGGGCATTTGATTCTATTAACTGTCATTTCTTGAAGCGAAAATAACTGGCACCAGAGCATACCACTAAATTTGCTGGAGCTACAGAAAGAAGTTCAAATGTAAAATGAAAAGGTTGAATTGATCCTTGTACCATGAAGCTGCAAGAGGTGGCTAAGCAGGATCAAATGTCTCTCTCCTGCTGAGGCGCTGGAGTTACGTTAACCTCTTTGCAATTTGGAAGGGAATCAAGGCTACTCCCGTTCATGCCTGGCTGCAGCACTTCTGTGTGTGCCATCTTGCACTGTATAAATCTATCTTTGTAATATTACAAAAATGAAGTTAAGGTTCATGTGCTACTTTCTGTACTTCAGAGAAGATTCAGTGTGCAAAAAGTGAATAATGAGAAAGAAACGCTACAGAGCTTTGCAGCCTCTCATACGAAGGTGCCCTACAGAATATTGTGGTGTGGGAGAATCAGCAGTGCTAGATCAAGCTCATTGGGCTCCCTGAGCCCCTGAGCTGGGACAGAATGGAGGGGGTGGAATAATGCTGTGAGCAGAGTTATCCTCTGCTGGTTTGTTACCCCTGCACTGCAGGGCATGTTAGATCAACTTTTGGGCTCAGAAGTATCAGCTTAGTGCTGCTGAACTATCAGTCCTTTGTGCTTTCAGCAAACACAATATGATTTGGGCATTTTTTTCGAGTTACCTGTTTCTTTCATAGAATAATGAGAAACAAAAATGTCTGTACTTGACAATCTTAGAGGTCTTTTCCTACATAAACGATTCCACGATTCTATAAAAAGACCTTATTAATAAATATGAAAATGATTGCACAGAGGCCTAAAAAAGAAAAGCATAAGCTACAAAGTGAGATCCGGGAAGACAAAGTGATGGGTTAGTATTTTCCACCTGATCAAGTTGGAAATTACATGAAAATCCCCACCCTACAAAAAAAAAAAAACCCAGCAAGTTCAGGAGCCTAGAAAGCAGCAATTGTTCAGAACAATCATCTCCAGCTTTCAACTGGGTGTAGCATCTGAAATCTAATAATTGTTGTAGCTTTTCTATGAAAGATGCTTTTTTCAGAAAAACAAACTTTTATCCTCCATTTTTAGCATTCTTTTATCAAATCCAGGTTGTGTTAGAAGAGCAGCTGACTGGGAACAAAGGAAGAAGATTAAAAAGGGCTACCAGTGAGTAACTTTTT